TTTTTATTTTTTTTTTTTTTTTTTTTTTTTTTTTTTTTTTTTTTCTTAAGGTCCCTGTTCCCTGCTTCCTGTGCCAATCTCATGTTAATCCTCTGTGGAGACTCACCAGGTTTAAAAGGACTGTGTTCGAAAGTATTCCATAACCACAATTATTGTTTAAGGACACATCTGCATCCAAAAGATGGGTGTTCACCTGGAATGCCTTCAGTTACCACACTTACCAGAACCGCTTGTGTCATGCCTGTCAGAAAGATGTGTTTAGGTCTAGACACCTAGGTCTGTACTCAAACTGTGACGTCACCATGTGTATGTTTTAGTTTCCTACACAAAATACAGAGATAATTAGAAGTAAAGCTATCCAGAATCAGAAAATATTCTGTGAAAAAAGTCCTCTCAGGATTCTTCACTGTCTAATATATTGCCAGGTAAGGAAGCTTATCTCAGCTACTCTGAATTTACTTGAAAATGGGTAATCATTGAAGTCAGCACATCCGAATAATTCTAAATTTTAAAATTAACACCAGTGTCTAGAAGTACTTTGCACTGTATTTCCAAATGTCTCCAATGTTGTAATGACTTTGGTGATAGATTCACTTGTGTTATTGTGTTTGTGCCGCTCCAGAATTTTTATTTGTGATATTAAATGTGTTGCTGTTGTAAAAGAATGATGATTTTTTTTTAGATGATTGGAGTCATCTGGAATTTCCTACCTGACTTTTTACTTTTAAGTACAGGGGTCTATATTGCTCATCTGTATACATAATTGTTCTCGAACAGACTGTGCCCTGAACAATGAATTTCTTATGTTCATTTCCAGGTGAAGACCCTGAAACTAGAAGAATGCGTACAGTCAAGAACATAGCAGATCTGAGGCAGAACTTGGAAGAGACAATGTCCAGTCTTCGTGGGACCCAGATAAGTCACAGGTATCTCATAGGTCTTCCTATCTCTGGCCAGATAAAGAAAGACTACAATGCAACATTTGACTCCTCTTACGATGATAGAGAAGAAATTTGGTATTGTTTACTCTTTTATTCCAGTTGTACATGGCAATCACTTATCAATAACCTTCAAGCTGAGCTGTCAGGTATTTTGTTCTTCTTTCCATTCTGTCTTCTCTAGAATGTACTTGTTAGACCGAATTAGCTGGTCAACTATGACTAGTTCTAGTGGGGTGCTTTTCATGTCTTCCATTCCTTTGGAAGAAGCTGGTAGGGATTCATGGAAGCATGACCACAGCTAACTTCCTGCACTGGTCTGAGAAACTTAAGATGGGTGAAAATCAGTGCATATCTTGTCAAGAAACAAAACTGTGTTAATCTAAAAATGTAGCAGTGGCCTTTCTTTTGAAAGCAACCACCTCTAATAAATGTGACTTCCCACATTTTGACATCTGCACAGATGACCACAGAATCATAAAATGAATCTACGTACCATTCACATTCACGAAACTGATGAGCTTCCAGCCAGGGACACTCAGCTCTAGCCTTTTCTGTCACCGCACCTTGTTCTATGGCCTTAGTGAACCAGAGTATAATTATCTCTCAATTTTGTTTGGCAGCACCCTGGAGACAACATTTGATAGCACTGTCACAACTGAAGTAAATGGAAGGACCATCCCCAACCTGACAAGCCGGCCTACTCCCATGACCTGGAGATTGGGTCAGGCGTGTCCTCGTCTACAGGCTGGAGATGCCCCTTCCATGGGCGCTGGATACCCTCGAAGCGGCACCAGTCGGTTCATCCACACAGACCCTTCCAGGTTCATGTACACAACACCTCTGCGCAGAGCTGCAGTTTCCCGTCTGGGAAACATGTCACAAATAGATATGAGCGAGAAAGCAAGCAGTGACCTGGATGTGTCTTCTGAGGTGGATGTTGGTGGATACATGAGCGATGGCGACATCCTTGGGAAGAGTCTGAGAGCTGATGACATCAACAGCGGGTAAGTAACCCTGAGCACAGCACCGTTGTTGGTCAGGGTGGGTATGTGAGGAGGTCGCACATTCCCAGGCATTCTGAGGTTGCCGAAGACCATCAGAAAACAGACGTTTACATTGCGAGTCACAAACGTAGCAAAATTGCAGTTCTGAAGAAGAAACAAAAATAATATTATGGCTGTAATATTATTATTACAACATAGGGAAGTGTATTAAAGGGTCACAGCATTAGGAAGGTTGAGAGCCACTGCTCTAGAGAAATACATGTGTCCTGTATTTTTCACACTAGTCTTACATGTTCCTAAGTAACAGATTTTATAGTTGCTTAGGGTGTGGGAAGGAGACAGAAGGAGTTTTGCTGAACCGCTTGAGTTTCTGTTTTTGGTTTGGCTGCTTCTAACAGCTTTAAGGAACAAATAACTTGTGGCATTGTTCAATCATGAATATCCAATTTAAATTGCAGAGAAAAATCATTTCAGAGCTGAAGGATTTTTAAGGTTTTAATACATTTTATTTATTTATGTTTTGTGTGTGTGTGTATGGGAATGTGTACACAGTGATGAAGATGTGGAGCTAAAAGGGCAGCTTGAAGCAGTCAGTTATCTCCTTCTACCATGGTGACACCAAAGACCTAACTCAGATCATCAGGTCTGGCAGTAGATTCCTTTATCCTTCGAGCTATCTCTTTAGCCCCAGAGTGGAAAGTTTAGATTGATTTACTTATTCTCGATTGGTGGTTTCAGACTTTAAAATATTATAGTCTTAATGCAGCCAGTCCTGCTGAGGCCTGCTAAGCTATGGTCACATGGAAGGGGAGGAGGATCGCCACTATCAGTGGACTAGGGGAGGGGCATGGAAGGAGAAGGAGGGAGGGAGGGAGGATAGGATTGGGAGGATATGAGGGAGGGAGGCTACAGCTGGGATGCAAAGTGGATGAATTGTAATAATTAAAAAAATGAAAATAAAAGATAATAAATTTTTACACAAAGGTAAAAGTCTTTTACCAGCACCAGCTTCAGAGCAGCATCAGATTTCTGTACAGTGTGGGCAAGAAAAAGCAAGGTGTTCAAAAACCCCAAGGAAAGAAAGATGAATTTAGAATTCCACAAAGAGTCAAAACAGCCACCTTAGTGTGAAGGTGTAATTATGACATTGCCCATGCAGTGTTGGACGAGAAGCTCTTTGAGACTGCAGCCATTCCATTGAAACAAGAGGCTACACCACAGAAGAAGGCTAAAGGCAATGTGCAACACAGAGGAGAGGTCAAGTCCCAGATAAGAACCAAACAGCAGACACAACTGTTCACACCAAAGATAAAGGGCAAATCCCATGAGAGGAGATTCAGAAGGAGAGGATGGGGCAATGAAAAGAAGGAGCTGAGAGTATGAAGTACTTCTGGCCACTTATGGTTCTCTCAGGAGCTAGAGAAACAAAAATCAACAGAAGCAGCAATCATCCAATCCAGGGAAAAGAGAAAGCTAAATTAGAAGAAACAGTCACACCTTGCTGTGACAGTGTTCACATAACCGTGATGGTAGAAACACTTAGAGTGGTCGGAAGACTAATCAGCAGTGATTTTACATCACTTACAGTTACTTTAACTATGAAATTAAAAGTGTAATACTATAAAAACAATATTACATTCTCTTTTTTCTATTATACTCCAAACATATATTGTGAGTCTAAAATCATTAAGGCGTTTTGGTAACTTAAACTACTTGGTTTAGTCAGAGGATGAGCTGAACGTTGAAAACAATAGAACGTTCTATTAAAACTAACCCTGGATAGTGAGATGGCTCAGAAGGTAAAAGCACTTTCCAACAAGTCTTGGTGACCGCAGTTCAATAGCTGGTGTTTTGATGGACAAGAGAACTCACTCCTACAAGTTGCCCTCTGGTCTGCACACATATGCTATGAAATGTGCACACACACGCACAAGTGCACACACAGAGGCAGGGAGAACAGATGCATAGAATAATAAAACAACACTATTCTTGTGATGGCACTTACATTTTGAATCCTTCCTATTATCTACCTTTTCTCTTTCTCACTTCTACATTCCTGTATCCCTTCATCCCTTTTTTTAGTTTTTCCAATAATAGGTCTCATTTTGTAGCCTCAGATTTCCTGACACTGACGCTGACCTCATGACAATCTCCGTACCTTTGCTTCCTGGGTGCTGGGATTAAAAGTATGTTATAACCCTCAAAACATTGCCTCTGTTGACTCACTAGGCCTCACCCATTCAGCCACTGGGAAGAAGCATTTAAAACAGGAGCCTTGACTATAGCTGGGGTACAAATTGAATAAATTGTAATGATTAAAAATAAAAAATAAAAAACCCCTGAGCCTTGGGAGATAGCTCAGAATCTATCCATCCAATATTAATGTGCAATGCTTCCCCTAGTATTAGTAGAATAATTGAAGAACGCTTTATATCCAAAATCAAAGGACACCCACGGTATAATGTGCATGTGATTTCAAATCATCTATAGAGCCTAGAGTTCTGAGTAAGGGGAACATATGAAACTCAGATGTGATAGAGTGAGGAAAGCACATATATTATGTTTCCTGTGTTAAATAGCCATAGGCGAGGCAAATACTTTTCAAAAGAAAATTTATAAAAGTTTGAAGATGAACATGGAAGATTTAATCCATTTAGTAAGCTTACCAAAGTATTATTTTCATAACCAAAGGATATTGGGTTATATGCCATTGGAAAACATTTCTCTCGACTTATAAGCATAGAATAGGATCACTTAAAAATGAGATGTGAGAACTAGGGCTATTGTGGCATGCCTTGAAGTCATGATGCAAAGAGGTTGTGCTGTATACTATATTCAGGGGAACCACTACGCAGAGATTGTGGATATAAATAAGATATGGAATTGATGACTTGGGAGAGACGAGTTTAGGGAAACCAGATGAGTGATGTGAGAGCCCTGAAGCTAAATTTCAGGAGCTATTGTAAGACTCAGGCACAAGGTCACCTGTCCAAAGGTATGGGGATAGCATTGGTAGTAATGAGGAGAAGAAAGTGTTTAAAGAGCACCGAGACAATAGAAACAATGATGAAATATTCTTCAGGGAATGGAAGAGTTGCAGAAACAAAGAGACTCGACTTACGTAGGTTATAAGCACAGGAAACAGTAGTACGCCATTTGAGAAAATTGAATGGAAGAGAGCTGAACTTCTGCTGAGTTTTGAGAGTTTGAAACACAGACTAAAACACACACGAGGATGCAAAGTTTGTAGAAAATGCAAAATGATCTTGGGGTAAAAATAGAAAACATATATCCCATCTCAATACAGAATACTGGAAATTGTGGGCCTGAACTCTAGAGGGGAAAGAATTCAGAGGAAAGAAATGTAATAAACTACGTTGGGAGCGGGTGTACATACATGTATATATTTATATGATTGCATATGAACAAACGTGTGTATCACAAAGTTTATAAAGTTTCTGTTGAGTTTGTCTTGTGTGCTAAACATCATCCTGGGCACTGAAAATTTACAGTTATAAACAATAGGCACACAGTGCTTAACCACATGGAACTCATAAACATCTACAAAAAGTGCTCATGTTTTCAATGAGTTAATACTACACAAAGAACACATATGCATGCATGTTTTTATACACAGCTATGTATGTATATATATATATATATATATATATATATATATATATACATACACAACTGTGTTCTGCATATGATAAATGTTATAAGCACCCCAACACGCAGGACCTTTCTACATTTTTCAGGCTTCTAAGTATATTAACACTTATTCATACTCAGAGAAATCTCAAAATCTTGATACTATAGTGAAGAAACTTATTCGTCTTTCATGTAAAACTGTCCTGGTGTTTTCTTTCATTAAATTTTACCATTTATTTTGTGTGTGAGCACGTGTGCATGTCTGTAGGTAAACGCATCCCATGGTGCACATGTGGAGGTCAGAGGAGTACTTACTGGAGTTGGGTTCTTTCCTATCACCAATGTGAGACCAGGGAGTCCAGCTCAGGTCCTTGCGCTTGATGAGCAGATGCCTTTATCCCCTGAGTCAGTATCACTGACTTTTTCCTTCAGCATTTTGATCTTCACCTGGGGAATGTAAACCACAGTCATTTAGAGGATAGGAAATTAGATAATTCTGCTCCTGTCCCATCAGGTTTCCAGTATCACCCTAACCACTACCATTCATCAGGCAAATAGCAACAGAGATGAAAAAAGTACAATGGGAAAGTATTTTAGTGAAGCCTGAAAATTTCGTAATTGACTTCTGCTTACACTCATGCCAAGGAGCCTTTGTGGCCGCAGCTACCTCCAAGAGGCAAGAAAACCTGGCTCAGCTGTGTGCTTTGGATGAAAAGGAAATTCATTTGAAGACAGCTTGCTGTCACCCCTACTGAGTCGCCTACTGAGGGAAAAGCGATGTTTCCAGATCCTTGTCCTACTTGACTTGTTCCATTTTTCATTTGGAGCGTAATTCAGACTTCGGGTCTCTTTTGTCTTCATCAGTCTTCCTCTGGAAGTCTGTTATGTGTGCGTCATTGATCTACATGTTTTATGCATGAAAATTATCTCACAAGTTCACTGGAAGATAGTCAGCATTTTGCTCTTCCCTGTAATAGAGGAGATGAGTTTGAAAGCTCTTTGCTTTATGGTGTAGAGGAGACTGGCTTTTAAAGAATCACATAGACATGTTCTCTAGGTGAGAGGTGACTACTTGTGCTCTACATGGGACATGGCTGGTCTCAACCAGAGGTTGATGGGCAGATGTTGTGTTGAGGACCACTTGCTGGAGTGTGTAGAATGTCACTGTTGATATGTCAACATAGAATTTAAGTGCAGGACGGAGGAGAAGATCAGAGATATCCCGAGAAAGTTTTAATTTGACAGTACTTTCTTTAAGTTGTATGAAAATTGTTTCTGCATCACATTGAAAAAAAAATGAATCACAAATTTGCTTTCTATTCACAAATTTTCAAGTACATTTTGCTGATTAAAGGAACAAAATGCTTAATAGGCAATATAAAAAGGAAATGTTTAATTTAGCTTTTTCATGACGCCACAAGGAATGACATGAGGACATTGCAAATGGGAATGAAATTGCATTTTTCATGCACTCTGGATAGAAATGGTAAAATTACTTAGTTGGCATTCTTGGAACTCAAAATTTCTTGAAGCCTGCAGAGGCTTAACTTAGATGTCTCCTTTTGAAATTACTTCCCACACTTGGGAATACGAAGCTGTCAGTAATTAGGAATGAGTCAGAAGAAGGGACGCATTCCCATAATCAGCTGAAACAGTACATTTAGGAAGCAAAAAAAGACAAGTTGAGAGGAAAGTTACATATCTTAATTGAGTGGAAATTGTACTTATCTTTGGATACCACAGTGGTAAATAGTTTATGCACATGCGACTGAATGTTAAAATTGTACTTAAGTCATTTGACCCAAACATGAAAAAACTAAGAATTCTGAGGAACAAAAAAATTAAAAATAATGTGAAGTGATACGTACTTTCGTTCACCTATATGTCTCCCTCAATTCCCTTAGAACTTGTGATGACTGGCGTAGGAGCAGCAACTGCAAGGCGCTAGGACCTGAAAGTGTCTTTCTTGTGAAGCCACATGTTCCCTATACTGGCTTTTTCTCCAATTTTATATTCAAGATACTAGGCATTTGTGTTAATGTAGAAACTTTCATAGAACAAATAATTGTAACACAGCCCTATTCCATTATAGGCAATACTCTTCATATCTTCCCCATCTCTCTCTCTCTCTTTCACACACACACACACACACACACATACATACACAAACACACCACAAATGTATGTACACTTCTATACACACACACACACACACACACACACACACACACATATATATATTATCATGCATTTTATCTTTATTGTTCCTATCTCAACATACCTAGAAGGTAGCTTATCATTGCTATCATTTCCCCTTTGCACTGACATACTTGAGTCATAGATAATTGAAATGCTTTCAGAGTCCACATAGCTAGTACCTTGCAGCACTATGGGTAGAGAATTAAGTTTCACAGTGTGACAATAAGGTTGAAAATCATAAAAACCAACTCCAAGATTTTAAAAGCAAGAGTTAGTGGATTAGGCCTGTAGTCCTAGGACTCAGGAAGCTGAGGCAGGAGGTTTGTCATGAGATAAAGGTACTCTGGATTACATAGTGAGCTCTAAGTTTGCCAGGGATGCAGAATGAGAACCTATAAATGGATGAATGAATGAGCTATACATATTTAACCTATACAATAATGCCACAGATGATTTCTTTTTGAAATTTTATTATTTTAATTAGTATACAAAGTCACTAGTTTTCTCATGACATTTTTGCGCATATTTAGAATTGGTAGATGCCCTTCCATTTCCACCTGTACCTCCTTTCTAACTTTCTGCTTAGGCCGCTGCAATTGTACCCTTGCATGCCAGTCATTGCATTCCATTTGCGTAACTCATATATTCTATTGTTCTCCACACACCAATTTTCTGTCATTTCTTGTGGTTATTTCTAGTGCTGCTGGAGTCCTACTAAGAAAGCTCTTACCTCTTCATGTAGTTTGAAGACTTTCTCAATTTTTCGCTCTAGACATTTCAACAACTAAGATTTTACATTTATTTACTTAGTGTGTGTCTGTGGTGTGTGTGTGCGCATGGGGGTGCATGTCTATGTTGGTGGGCATGTGAAACTCAGAGACAGACCGTTTTCTCTCCTTCTTCCATGTTGGATGCAAGGTTTAGGCCTTAGCAGCTTTATCACCATCTTTCTGGCTCACATTTATGTTTTAAATTAACGTCTTTGATCCATTTTGAGTGGATTATTATAAAGGGTGAATAACATAACTCCATTCTTCCAGTGGCTATCCAAGTTTTTAATTATTTTGCATTTCATTACTTTTTTGAGAATTTCATTTTTATTAATTCTTTGAGATTTGAACTTATTTTGAGAGATTTTTATGCAACGTGCTTTGGTCATGCTCTCCGTCCCTCCTCCAATTCTAGTCTACCCATCCAACTTTGTGTTCATTCTTTGGGCAATCTTCCAAGATCATTTTTTTTTCATGTTCTGTTCTGCTTTATTCACAGTAGCTTGGAAATGCAATCAATCTAAATACATATACACTAATAAAATAATAAAGGGGTAACCAGATATGTTACATATATACAATGGAACATTCAGCTATAAAACAGGAAATTATGAATTTTGTAGGCAAATAGGTGGAATTGGGGAAAAATTATATGTTGGTAACCCAGCTCATATGTATATACCTGCTTCAAATCTTTAGATTGTATTTTTTTTATTTTTTATTGTTTGTTATTATTATTTACATTTTATCAACTCTGCATCCCAGCTGCATCCCACTCCCCCATTCCCTCCCTACCCCACCCTCCCTCCCTCAGCTTCTCCCTGCCCCTTTCCAAGTCCACGGACTGGGGAGGACCTCCTCCCCTTTCGTCTGGCCCTGTTTTATCAGGTATCTTCAGGGATGGCTGAGAAGTCCTCCTCTGTGGCCTAGCAGAACTTCTCTTCCCTTCGGGGGTGGGGAGGTTAAAGAGCCTGCCATTGAGTTCCTGTCAGAGATAGTCCCTGTTCCCCCTACTATGCGAAACCAATTGGTTATTGAGCTACCACGAGCTTCGTCCGAGTAAAAGTTCTAGTTTATATAGATTGTGTCTTTAATGTCAAGTACCTGCAGAAGCCAGGAAACGAAAAAAAGTAACAAGGCAGGAGAGATAACCTACAGAGAGAGGGGCGGGGTGTTAAAAGTTGGAGCATCTGAGTTCTTCATCCTTAAAATGGAGATAGCTTTGTTGATACATGTACATGACTTAAAATAGTTCCTAGAAACATATGGAGCATTTAATACATTTTGGTTATGATTTTATGATAGTGACCAAGTTGTGGTATAACTCTTACTTAGTCAATAAATTGATTTTAATTCTAGTAAAGTTTCATTAATCCTATGGCCCTTAAGTAGAAAAAAAAAAAAGAAGCCAATTTAACCAATGAAATTACCTTGCTCTTATTTAGTAAGAGATATATGATTCTTAGACTTGTTAAAAATATTGATAAGAAAAAAAAAGTTTTATAAAAGGCTACTGAATATTGATTCTTTAAATAAAACTGAAAATAAGTTTTACTTTTTTTCTGATGAGCATATTTATATATAAAGTGACTTACTAGAGTCTGTTTTGAGCAGTTATTGAAAATTTACAATACAGTGGAGTTATTAAGTCATGGGGCTTTTTTTTGGTTAATGTGTTTGCAATTCTTTTCAGGTACATGACAGATGGTGGGCTCAGCCTCTATTCTAGAAGTCTGAACCGAGTCCCAGACACCACAACTTCCCGGGATGTCACAGCAAGGGGAGTTCACGATGTGACAATGGATGCAGACAGGTAATTCCATCAGCATATAAGATGCTGATGTGCAGAAAGTCATTTCACAAAGAAGGTCACAAGAGATTTGCTGTGTAAACTACAACTTCTATTTTTGTAGATTTTTTTTTTTTAGAAAAGGCAGTTTTGTTTGCTAGACCATACTAGGTCTGTACTACCGAAAAAAAAAAATGGACAGTAGAAAACACTTAAAATTTCAGTATCTATAAGAGAAAATTTAACAGTGTATACTTGTTTTCCTAATTTGAAAAAACAAACATTATTGATGTTTTTCCATCAATTCAAATGCATTTGGATTTACCTGGAGGCAAATTGAAAGAGTATAAAAATGTATTTCAAACCATCAATTACAATAAGTACAATAAGCTTGATGCTTCTCCTGAGAGCACTTTGAAGACAAGCTTTTGCTTTAGGCTAACATCTTGTACTCCATTATCTCGAGCTTCTTGAGGGTGTGTATGTATATGTGTGTATGCATGTGTTTCAGACAGTGTTTTTATTTTTACAGGAACTGTTCTGTTGACTTTTATCATTATTATTTGAGATCAGCATCTAAGTCAACTAACTCATTTATATTTCTGATCCTGATTTATTCTTTCATTCCAAATTTTTAGTTTATTGAGCAAAAAGACAGTTCCCATTTTTATAATTATATATTAGTACATAGATTAGTTCTTTAATTGAGTATTTATGATGAATATATTAAAACTTCACCTGTCCACATTCTGAAATAAGATTGTGCACAATTTATTGTATTTTTTACAGCTATTCCCAAAAGGCAGGTAATGACTTTCTATACTAGTTTTCAGTATCATTTCTGACTCGGACCCCATCAATGCCTTAATCATCTTAAACAGAAGATTAGTCTTAGCTCTCATCTGATATAACCATCATCCCAGTCTGTATAGTCTCTTTGTGTATTTGTGGCATACATGCTTGTGTGTAAATGGGAAGTGTGTAACTCTGTGGTAAAATATTTTCTTCCCTCTCCAATCTGAATTTCTTTTTAAATATATGACCACTGACTTTTGCACTAACTTCATTCCTAACACCAGGACTTTCACCCATCTTTTGAACAATCTAAACTAATTTATAACTCAGAGCTTTGTCTTGCTACTTTTGTGTTTGGTACAACATTTGGCTTTTTGCCTTGCAGTCTCAGTTCAAGGTCATGTTCTTGGAGAAGTGTTATCACAGTAAATCAGGTACACTTCTTCCTAAACAAGATCTATATTTCTTACAATAGGTAGCCATTGGTGCAAATAATGTGACAATCATCATACATTGAGGTTTTAACAGGAGCTGTTTTGGTGAATGAACATGGGTAACCTATTCACTCAGTGTCTGTATTCTATTAGGCTAACAGTAGGGCCCTCTTTGGGTGGTGAGTGAATGAAATGAGGCAAGAGCTCAGCCACTTCGAGAATATTATGGAGAGGGAATGAATTATGAGGGAGGAGACAAAGATTAAGGGAAAGACATTCAAAGTATGAGCTACATATTAACTCTGTGTGTGTATTGCTACTTTACAGTGGAAAATGAAAAAGGTAATGGTATTGTGATAGAAGAACCCAGAAATCAATATAAAAGTGACTTTGGGTTGAAAAACAATTGAGTAATTTCAGACCAACAGATAGGGCCAAACAAGTATCTAAGAAATTTGGGCCTCCAAAAATATCGAGCTTCCCCTCCTGCAAGAGTATAGATCTGGACCAAAGTACCACTTGAGAACAGATTAGAGATGTAATTTCTAGACGCACCCAAGGCAAACAGAATCAGAGGGTCTGGATATGGACGTAGTGACCTGACGTTCATCTAACTCTCCATGTACTCCAATGTACAGGATGCAAAGAACCATTATCTAGAAATGACAAGTGGATGCTGCGCCTACCGTAACATGGACATTTAAACTTACAAGTGCATCTCAAAGCAAAGAGAATAGGAAGTGTTAATACAGGCCAATGACAACAACTTTAAGTTAGAACAAATAATGGCTTGTAACACCTGGGAGAAATTGTATGTGAAATTCAGCTTTGGTGATTATTTAACAGGTTATTTTTTTTTGAAAAAAAAAATCTTAGTTTAAGGAGATAAAATAACACATTGCTATGTATAAGTTATATAATAATAGTGTCATTGTAGTGGGATTTTTTTTTCCAGAAGAGATGAGGGTTCTGTTTTATTATAGATTAATCCTGAAGCTATTTTAAAACTCTGTGTCAAGGAAAGGAATCAAGATGGGTATCAATTAGATGAATGTCCTAAAATAATGTAGTTATGTCTAGCTCTCTGTTAAGATTCCTGTTGTTTTGGGAAGCTTTCTTAGTTGTGCAGCCTGTTAAAAATATGAAAAGAAAGTACAGATAAAAGATATCATTTTTGTTTGTAATCAACCGAGAGAAATTAGTAGAGTTGAGATCCCAAAAAAAAATCTCCTTTTCTGATTTGTCTTAACTTTTTTTTTTTTTCATTCAGACATCTGAAATCTTGCATAGTGAGAGATACGAGAATAACAGTGAGGAAACACACACACACGCATGCATGCACGATTATGGGTGCATGTGTTTGTGCGCGCACACACAGATAATAAAGCAGTGACGAAGCCACTGGATTCCATCTTCTCGTCATTCTCTTCTGCTCACTTTCAAAGCACACCTATGCTTCTACGCGCTGTTCATCTTCCCCTTGTGCAATCATCTCATTATACATTACTTGTTTGTTTTGCCTGTAGAATGTGAGATTCTTGAATGCAGGCTGACCCTTGTTTTTGCATCCCCAGTGCCTGCCAAAAACTGAGGGAATTCAATAAGTATTTCTCCAATAAATCATACAATGACCATATCTGCTTATAAGATGGAGAAATGTGGCTTTAATATGAAAACAAATCCTGACCAAAAAAAAAAAACCATATTATTTAAAGAGTTTCTTGACACTATGGAGAATAATAAAAACACTGAAAAATCCTTCTGTGTAAGTTACACTGTTTTTTTCCAATCCGTGGTATCTTTATATTTCTTAGGTTTTATAAGTAGCTTACTATAGAGTAAAATACACTGAAATAACAGCTGACCCATCTGACTGTAACAGCAGATTCTATTTATCATCTATCTATCTATCTATCTATCTATCTATCTATCTATCTATCATCTATCATCTATCTGTCTATCTATCTGATGTGTCTGAGTGTTTGGTCTGCATGCATGTCAATGCACGACAGGGAAAACAGGCAAGAAAAGAGCATCAGATACCTTGGAACTGGAATTACAGATGGCTGTGAGCCCCATATGGGTGGTGGGACTTGAACTCAGGTCTTTTGGAAGAAAAACAAGTGTTGATCTTCTTGTAAGGTTCCTTTCCCTACCAGGTCCTTCCATCTCTTCCCAACACTCCCACAAGACCCCCAGAGTTCCTCCTCATGCTTGACTGCCTACATCAGACAGAGGTCTGATATCTGAAATATACCAAGAACTTAAGAAATCAAACACCAACAAATCAAATAATCCAATTAAAATGGGGTACAGAGTTAAACCGAGAATTCACAAAAGAAGAATATTGAATGGCTGAGAAGCACTTAAAGAAATGTTCAATGTCCTTAGCCATTAGTAAAATACAAATCAAAATGACTCTAAGATTCCATCTTACACCAGACAGAATGGATAAGATCAAAAACTCAAATGACAGAACATGCTGGAGAGGATGTGGAGAAAGGGGGACACTCCTCCATTGCTGGTGGGAATGCAAACTTGTATAACCTCCCTGGAAATCAATTGGGTGTTTTCTCAGAACACTGGGAATAGCGCTACCTCAAGAGCCAGCTATACCATGCCTGGGCATATGTTCCACCACACAACAAGGACATTTGTTCAGATATGTTCATAGCAGCTTTATTCATAATGGACAGAAACTGGAAACAACCCAGATGACCCTCACCCAAAGAATGGATACAGAAATTGTGTTACATTTATACAATGGAATACTACAGTTATTAAAAACAAAGAAATAATGAAATTTTCAGGCAAATGGATGGAACTAGAAAAGATCATCCAGATCTTTCTGAGTAACCCAGACCCAGAAAGTCGTGCATGGTATGTACCACTTATAAGTGGACATTAGACCTATAGTACAGGATCATCATACTATAAATCCACAGACCCAAAGAAGCTAAGTAACAAAGAAGGCCCAGGGGATTGTGCCAGAATGTCACTCAGAAGGGGAAATAGAATAGACAATAGAAGTGGATGAAGAAAGGAATCTGGGCAGGGGATAGAATGGGGAGGGCAACAAGGGTGGGATTCAGATATGGGGAGGTGAAAGGGCTTGGAACAAAATTACAGTTATGAAGTAGCAATGAAAACAATTTTATGGTTTGATTTCATCACAGCATGAGGAACTAACCGTATTAAAGGGCCACAGTATGAAAAGGCTGAGAACCACTGTGTTATTCTTCAGTTTAGTGTTTTCAGGGCACTCTTGAATGTGCTAGCTAACAAGTGGTTCTGATTCTTGTGCTAGTTCTTGGGTTCTTGACTGCCTGTTGGGTGCATTGTTCATTCTAGATATGATAGTTTTTGCTTCATCTTGTATCTTCTTATATTTTATTTTGTCACGTTCAGTTGTTGTTGTTATTTCTTAGAAACCTATTCTTTTCTAATGAAAGACAGAGAGGGAGTAGATCTGGAGGGGATGGAAGATAAGGAGAAACAGAGAGGACTACAGAGAGGGGAAACCATACTCAGGATGTGCTGCATGAGAAAAGAATCTATTTTCAATAAAAGGAGAAAAGAAGAGGGAGGAGGACAAGCCATTAATTGGAGAGTGAGTGTGGAGCGACAGAACAGGTAGAAATGACAAGAAATAAAGGGTGTACGTTGTAGGAGGATGTAGAGTGCCTGGTTATTTGAGTAGTAAATGATAAGACTATTTTTCCCATTTTAATAATTTTTAAACATGAAAGCGAAAGCGCACACTGACATCATTGATTTTTAAAATGAGTCCTCTTG